TTTATTTTACTTTATTTATTTTTATATGGTGCTGAGGTTCGGACCCAGGGCCTCATACGTGCTAGGTAAGCGCACCCCGCTGAGCCGCAGCCCCAGCCCTATATCCACTTTTCTAAATAAACCTGTGTGTACCTGAAATTCTTTTCCATCATGTAAGCCAAGGACCCCGCTGGTCCTGAGTCCAGCTTCCCCTCTCTCGGGAACTCCTCAGACCCTTCTTCAGAGGCACTTCTTCCCCAGCGACAGTCTGACCTGCTGGTGGTCAGTACCTCCCCACCTCCCTTAGTGTCCTTCCCCCTTACTTCTGCCCCCTCCTCACACCCTGCTGGCTGCCACTAGCCAGAGCTGGACTCCTGCATGTGGGCCTGTCCACCCCAGCAGCCCACACCCAGCCTCTTCCCTCTCCTCCCTCCCTGCCCATTTGAGACCCTCTTCCTCTTCTAGCCCTCAGTGTTCTCCTCCCCCCGCATCCTGGATCCACTCTCTCCTGGGCTGCGGGGCATGCCCTTCTCTCCTCCACTCAAACACACTCTGGTCTCCAATCCTGAAAGCTTCCCTTAGGCCTGTCCTCATTGGAACCACTGTCCTTGCCCCTCCTTCCTTTCTCCCTTCTTGGAGTGCTGAGTTTGGGGCCTGCTCTCAGACTTTGGCTATATCCCCACTTCCTCTGTAAGAAAATTGCTCTGTAGGAGGCCACAGGGACCTCCTGGGCAGATGCTGCCTTCCTGCCCCCCACCCTGGCCGCTTGATGGGCAGTGCTGGGCCCTGTGGACTCTCTCTTGCCACAGGGTGCGAGTAGGGCCCATGGAAACAGGGGTGTGGGGGAGGCAGAACTCCCCCCTGCATGCTCAGCATCTGGATGGCTGGGATCTCCTCCTTTCCCCTCTTGGGGCTCTCAACCCTGGTCCCTGCCTTATTGTCCCCTAACAGTGGCCCTTTCTGAAGCCCCATCCCTTGCTCTCTGCTCCCCGCTCTGTTCTCATTTCTGTGAGACTCCATGCACCTGGGCCTTTAGCCGAATCCTTCATCACATGTTCCCTGTGACTTGCCTTAGCCCTGGATCTCTCTCTCTCTCTTGGGTTTCTGGTAGCCACCTGCTGATGATGTCTCCTCTAGACTTGCCAGGGTGACCTCCATAGGACGTGCTGAAGCCAGCAAGTGCCCCAACCAGGTGGGCTCTGCTTGTCAATGTACCAAGCTGTCCTCAGTTTTCCCAGATTTTCATTTTGTGGCTGCCTCTTTTTTTTTTTTTTTAATTTGTTTTT